TTGTAACCCTGATGCGAATGCAATTTCTTGCACAATATCCAGGAGCTGAGTGGTCTACATTATCAAGTAGATCAGTACATTCATTTGCAAACGCTAAACGCTAATGTAGAGATGACCCCACCGCTATCTATAAGTCCGCATACCAAAGCTCAAGCACGTAGGAAATTGATGGGTTGTTGCATAAACACCACGAACATCCCCGAAGTTAGTGGACCTCCTGCCGTATCCCGCCTGACTAGAATGGGATTCCTAGTGAGCTAATTAAAAGCATATTATAAGAAGTCTGGTATAAAATATCATTAATCAGACTCGAAATATTGTATCAAACCATGTCCAATCCTAGCCATGTTGACAGCTTTGGCAAAATCAATAAGAACCGCGCATGCGTCGGTTTTAATGTGCTTGCACAACTCATGAAAGTCTCGGAAGCGAGCGATAGTGACAATCGATATGCTGAGTTCAAACCCGTTTCTGACCTTTTCTGACCGTAAGCTTGTTCGCAGTGCTCCGTTTTAAATGATTTTCTTGTACGCGCTGATGCTGACTTGTGCTTGCCATAGTGCTGCATTGTTGGAGTCGATCAAGGTAAGATAAAAAGGTGGATGGCATCCTCTTGTTACCAGCTCACACATACTTACTTATCGTAGTTCAATTCACCGTCTTCAAAGATAAGTGCAATTGGCTTGTGGTGCTCGTCAAAAATAATGCTGCGTTAGCGCTATCAACGCTTGAAAATGTGCCACAAGTCGCTCAGTCGATAAAATTAGGTTCGTGGTAACGTCATCTAAAAAGACACTCTGAATAAGCGCAATCAAATTTTTGAAGTCGTATCACGAGTCAAATCGATAAAAATTGGCACGTGACGTATTGAGCATGTAGATGGGGGCATCGCCATAGCGCGCGTCTCATCTTTGGCATAAACTTTGCTGATAGTCTGACTTTCGCAGGCATTTGGTCGTTGTTGTGCTATTTTTGATTTCGGACATGATTAATCAAAGCAAGAATGGTTTTGGATACGAGCAACTGTATGCGCAATGTGCTTGCGAAACCCTTTGGAACTGATGTACAGAATGTCATGCGCTTAAAGGCCCGACACATCAAGCCAACTACAAACGTTTTTCTACCAGTGCTCCGGTATAAAAGAGATGGCGAGGATTCATCAAATAGAATCCATCGAGACGTTTAAGTCATTCATGACTTCATTCGAGCCTGGTACTTTCACCCGAGCTAAGAAAGATAAGATAAGTGGGAAGTGCGCTTAAAAATTTACCACGTTATGGATTCGTTATA